TGCAGCGAGGCAACAGACACATCCATATCACGGATCTTGTCAGTGAGCTTGTCATGCTTCTCAGTGGCCCAGTGATGGCGCGGCTTCAAAAGAGTGCACGCTTCTGGGGGACTGTAATCATCTCAGCCTTCTGAGCCCGAAGAGACTGCAACTCTGCCTGCAGACCCGCAATGCGTGAGAACACGTGCTTAGTCCTGCGGGAGGGCCCTTCAAGCATCCAGTTGGCTCTGTAGACTCTGTATGATCTTATCAACATCCGCAACCGTAAGGTCATTGCCATGTTCATCAACGCCAAAGCTGCGGTCATCATCGTATTCATCGTCGACATCATCACGATAGTCAGCCCGGAAAAAAAACGATTGCCACTGTCAGCGCCAAGTCCATCATCACCCGAATCATCTGCAAACCGATCCTGAACCTCTTCATCCAAAGGGGCTCCGAGACGCTCATCCAAGGAACGGAGAGGAGGAGTGGATGGGTTTGGTGAGACAGGGGGCATGGCAGGCGAAGGCGGCACGGGTCTGGTCGCTCTTCCTGCTGCTTTGCCCCCTGACGGTTGGGCAGAACGAGATCTTCCTCCTTTCTTGCCTCCTGGAGCGTGTCCTGTGGGGGAGCGGCCAGGAAACAAGGATTGACAGAACTTGCAATGGCGTCGAAGGTTGGTGTCGGGTATCCAAGAGACCTTCCCAGCATCACGACAGGTTAACCACACAACATATCCCATCACCGTCCGACGCGCGCGCGAGGGAAATGGTCGCCTCTCGACCAGGCGGGCCCTCGAGCCTGCCCCTCGGCAGCGACCAAGCTCCAAGCCTCAGGGCAAGCTTTGGAACCGTAGCCAAAATGGCTACGGAGGAGGAGGACGCAGGAGGCCGGAGGAACAGGGGGAATGGGGGGGAGGAGGCATAGCGAGGAGGAGGAAAAGGAGGAGGAGCAGGAGCAGGCAGGAGGAGAAGGACGAGGCAGGAGTAAGTGGGAAAAGGGTCGGGGCAGGAGGAAATCCCCAGGTGAGCTAAACATATTCTCATGCGGGGTCCTGCCGTCGGAGTTTCCCCCTTTTTTCCCTCCCTATAGAGGGGCACGTCCGACTCAACTCTAGGGGCAATTTGGATCGTCGAAGCGGGGGAAACACGCACGACAGCGAACAATGCATGGATGTCCGAGCGATGGCATGCCTCGCGTCGTGAAGAGATCCCGACGGAAATTCCGTTGTTAAATTCTCAGTCTTGACGAGTAATTACTGTTGATCCCCCCCACAGGTGCACATGGTGTTTTTCAATTCGTGTGCCCCCCTCGAGGCTCCCACCCTGCTTGGTATAAGGGAAAGTCTTCCCACTCAACTGGCGTTGTTGGGCCCCGAACTACAGCAACAACGGCTCCTGTCTGATATTTCGCCACATGTATTCAAACCTCGCGCTATCGCGCGGGACATCCTTACAACGTATGCAGGATTCGCGCTCTCGCGTCGGATTTCCTCGCAAGGTATTGAGACGCCGCGCCCTCGACTCAGGAATCACGTTCCCGCTTTGGCTTTCCTCACGATTTACGTGGGAATCGCGTGATTGCTCGAGACTTCCTCGCGATTCATGCAGAACTCACGCTTCAGCAGCCCGCCTGCTCGACCTGGCCGCCCGGGCCCGCCTTGCGACCCGCCTGCTAGGATCTGCCCGCCCGATCTGCTGGCCTGGTTCTGCCACGTGTTTTCTGTACCTAGCCTTAAGTCGGGCCTGTCCCCCTACAGCGGGATTTTTGACGAAAAATAAAAAATACCCAAAACATAGTCAAACAATAGTCAAAAAATAGTAAGGGGACTATTTTTTGAATATCCGTAAGGGCTTCGCCCCCTGCCGCCGGCCCCCTCTCTCAGAGAATGGGCCATGGAAGAGCTAAGTCATGAGGCCTTGGCGCTGTCGTGAAGCAGTATCGAAACTTCATGCGAAGCCGATTCGCAATGAGCAAAACCAACTGATCACAAGAGGGGTTACCACACCTGGCGATTGGTAAGACGTGTATGGTTTACGGGCTTGGTTACCACACCTTGCGATTAAAGGGCCGAGGGAGTTCTCGCAGTTTGGGTTACCACGCCTTGCGATGGATGTGCGTGAAGGGTGGCACCGAATTTCAGAAATGTACCAAATCCCGTGTGTTTTTGGACCCTGACCCCGCGGATCTGCGTGAGGGGTGGCGCCGAATTTCAGAAATGTGGCAAATCCCGTGTGTTTTTGGACCCTGACCCCGCGGATCTGCGTGAGGGGTGGCACCGAATTTCAGAAATGTGGCAAATCCCATGTGTTTTTGGACCCTGACCCCGCGGATCTGCGTGAGGGGTGGCACCGAATTTCAGAAATGTGGCAAATCCCCTGTGTTTTTGGACCCTGACCCCGCGGATCTGCGTGAGGGGTGGCACCGAATTTCAGAAATGTGGCAAATCCCATGTGTTTTTGGACCCTGACCCCGCGGATCTGCGTGAGGGGTGGCACCGAATTTCAGAAATGTGGCA